ACTCTACAAAGTAACATACACCTTTGTTTACGTTTGTCTGTTGCTTGGCAACCACTTTGTTGCAACCACAACTGTTTCTGAGGAGCTACATTGTTTGGTGGAAGAATACTGTTTTTATTAATATCATTACACTTTATTTGCTCTGTTTTATTTTGTGAAACCTTACTACGTATATGGAACAACCGTTTTATAAAAGCAATAAGCCCCGTGAAGCCGTGGTTTACAGTGAATTTATAACCGCTATAAAATAGCTTCGCGTCGTACCTAACAACGCCCCGTAGCTGTTATAAATTCACTGTAAACCACGGCTTCTTGGGGCTTATTGCTTTAATAAAAAAGGCCTTGCTACGTGTACTGCGTTAAGCTAACTGAGACTGTTATAGCACTTGCATATCATTGCTCTTTTGTTGATTTTGATTGCTTGGATAAAAGCGTCTGCTAAATGACTAAATGTAACACACTTTTCTCCTCTAGGGTTACAACTGGTGCCATGATCGCAACGTGGTAACGATTTTCAGCGCACCCAACTACTGCTACCGCTGTGGGAATCAGGCAGCCATCATGGAGCTCGACGACACCCTCAAGTACTCCTTGTAAGTTGGAAAGCTTGATGGAAGCGGATGCAGTTTCTTGAATGCTGTTGATCTGAACGTGTCTGATCTGTCGTGGTGTGATTGCAGCCTGCAGTTCGACCCGGCGCCGCGCAGAGGAGAGCCGCATGTCACCCGCCGTACCCCCGACTACTTCCTGTGAATCCAGTATTGCCATGATATTATAATCCTCATTCAGTTTAAAATAAGGGGAGAGGAATGGGCAACCGTAGAGAAAACTGATCCAGTGAGAAACGTCTGTGGACCAAAAGGTGTGTGCCATATCCAAACCCATCCACGAGCACCAGATATTCCCGGCTGCTCCCGCTTCTGTCCTCCGCTGTTTAGATGAACACCGGCTGTGAAACCCTCCTGAACACACGGTCTCCTTCATGAACCCTGTTTGTGTTCCTTCTTTTTCTAATGTCTGTTTGCACTTTTTTTCAACAGAAGTCCGTGTTACGGTTTATTTCCCTGTTTTCCGTGCTCTACGGGTGATTAGATGCTTTTATATCCCAACAAGCAGGCGATAATCTTTCCTACACTGACCGTGTTCAACAAATGCCAACTAATGTTATACGGCAGACTTAAGATGGCACGCCGTCGTCTGAATCCTGGAATAGCTTCATATGATGGTTCTGTGTCTGATAAAGGGTACCAGTTCAAGAATAAAGATGGATCTTGCTCATGTACTTTGTGTGCTGTTCTACTTGAATCCTCAGTTGAGCTGCCAAGCATAGTCCTTAGCCAGGGTTGTGCTATTTTTAATGTTTGACAAGAATGAAAACGAGGCTGTGAGGGACTGAAGTACAGTGCGTTCAATAGATCGTTCTGTTTAAGTATACAAAAACATTAAACGGTTTTAAAAGTCAAGAATTGTGAAGATGACCTGATCTAAGACCTTTATACACTCTTGTTTTCATCTGTTAGATTGAATATGGCGTTGAGCTGATGAGGTCTATTGCTGTTACTGCTTCTCTTAAGTCTACTCATATTTATTTCTCTGGCGCTTTATACAATACAAATAGTTTTAAAGCAGGTTCACAGTAGTAAACAAGAGAAAGTGTTAATATAGAAGTCAACAATTATGAAAGGAATTCAACATCAGTTACAGAAGACAATAGAGTAATTATTCAGTTCAGTTGAATCAAGTTCAGTCTTGGTTCAATTCAGTTCAATTGCAGGGCCAGTGTTGCAAAGTTAGTGTCATTATTCAGCTCGAAATTTGTTCCCATCTGAGAGTGTCTGCATAAAATCAATAAAATTACTGAATATTAATTGCCTTTTAAACCTTTAATCCTCTGATACACAAGTGATCAAATCAGGAAGGAAAATTAAGATTTGTTTAATGTATTAAATACAGTATATGCATATTTAGATTTATTTTTAATAAAATATATAATTTAATAAATACAAATATTAAGCTTTCTCCTATTATTATTTTGTTAAATAAGAGATTACTCAATTTGAGTGTATTGATCATTTGGTAATAAAAACTATATTTGTATTTAATAAAAAATAAGAGTTTGTCCATGTCCCTTGAATCCGCCCCTTTAAGAAAAGGCCATCCCCTTTAGTGACATCAGGACAACAGATTTTTTGGCGGGAATTTCAACGGATGAGGTAAATTGATGATTTTTCAATTGACAAATTTTCTTCATATGAGTTTGCTTAATTGCTTTGCCAAAGCTTAACATGTCCACCCTGTTGGCATAAAATATGCCATAAGTGATTAAAATACAGTATTTTCAAAATATGTAAGATTAAATATACCAAATTCTCTTCAACAACCAGACTAAATATTTAGCTAGTCACAGTTTGTTGTAAGCTAATATGCTAATTGAAGCTCAAAATGTGAACTACAAAATTCATTTGTAGTTAATATGGCTAAAAACCATGTGCTTAAATGTGCTTTAAAATGAAATTATTATAATCTTAATTCAAGTGATGAAGGATTTTGAAAGTCTGAGAGTAATCAGTGTTGAATACTACTGAAAGGTTTACATGTTTAAAAATGATTATCAGTTGAAAGCATTAAAGATTTACAAAAGTAATCCGAAAGTAATCAAATGTAATCAGTTACATTACTTTAAAGTAATTCTCAATTAGTCACTACTTGTTACATTTTAATGTATTACTTTTACAAAGTAACCTATGGCTAAAAACCATGTGCTTAAATGTGCTTTAAAATGAAATTATTATAATCTTAATTCAAGTGATGAAGGATTTTGAAAGTCTGAGAGTAATCAGTGTTGAATACTACTGAAAGGTTTACATGTTTAAAAATGATTATCAGTTGAAAGCATTAAAGATTTACAAAAGTAATCCGAATGTAATCAAATGTAATCAGTTACATTACTTTAAAATGTAACAAGTAGTGACTAATTGAGAATTACTTTAATGTATTACTTTTACAAAGTAACCTACTCAACACTGCATACAGTAGCCTACATGTAAAATATTTCTAGAAACATGGTATTTTCATGGAACAGTTACTAGTCATTAAATTAAGAACTTGTAGCCTTAAAACTAGTAGGTTTTGAGCAGTGTTGGGAAGGTTAGTTTAGAAATGTAATAGGTTACAGATTACAAGTTAACCTATCTAAAATGTAATTTCAATTACTTTATTAAAGTAATGTAACTGATTACATTTGATTAGTCTACTTTTTGATTACTTTTCTAAATTTCCAATGAATGTTTTTAACTGTTAATCATTTTGAAACATGTAAAGCAGGCAGGTTTACCCTTACAGAACTCAACACTGATTACTCTCAGACTTTCAAAACCCTTCATCACTTGAATTAAGCTTTTAATAATTTAATTTTAAAGCACAGCTGCCACAAAATCAGACTTCAGCACCTCTTTTTACGTTGAGATAATTCTGAGGTTAAATACAGATTTAAAACCATAACAAGAATTAGTTTAATAGCTATTACACTGTTTTTGAAATCAAATATTTGCATAGCTATGAGAGGAAACACTGGCATCTAACAATGCTTTGGAAAAAAGTTAGGACTAATCTTCAAAAATAAATCATATATAGCTATAAACGCAAAAAGGAAATAAAATAGTTATCGAATAGCCTAAGCATTTGTCCTATTCTGTGTCCTAAACTCCTGAAACATTGGTGTCTCATATTTTAGAGCAGTCAATGCAATTTATTAAAGAAGTTAATTAAATCTGTGTGTGTGTGTGTGTGTGTGTGTGTGTGTGTGTGAAAAATCAGATGTAAGCCCCTTTGTAATCGTTACTATTTTCCTAAGTAACTGTAATTTAATTACACATTTTTCTTAGTAACTGTAACTGATTACAATTAAATTTTTTTGTAATTTAATTACATAATTCCGTTGCATGTAACTAGTTTTTTTATTTTTTATTTTTTATTACAAAACTTGTAGAAACATACAGAAACATGAATATATTCTAACAAAAAGCAATTATAAAAATAAGAACATAAAACAAATATTTTGGATTTGCATGTCAAATTAAGTATTATCGATACATAAAAGATACAAAAACATTCTTTTAGAAAAGTTGTTGCATGTAACTAGTAGTGATGTGGTTAGTTTGCGCATGCGCGTCACACTGAGCTCAGTTTCATTCAGGCCTTGTTGACGTTCAGTTTCATTCTTTCGCCGCTCTCATTCACGGTAAGAACGGGACAAAATCTGCCACATTAGCGAGTCATATGTTATATTTTGACAGCGAAGAGACACAGCGGGCGTAATATTGTGTGAAATGATGAAGTTTTATCCCGGTTGACGTGATGAATGCAGCGGTTGCTAACAGAGGCCTATAGCCGCGCGGCTAACGTTAGCGTAGCATCACAAACAGCCCGTGCTCTATGTCTCTGTGATGCGTTTAATTCATCTGAAAAGCTCGTTGAATGAAACACAGTGGGACAGTGATAGTCTTGATGCTTCGACGTTTTTAAACGCGATTTATGAATATGCTACAGAAGCGCATTTTTATATGAAATCTCGCTGTAGCGTTCTGGATGCCTCGACAGTAACGTTAGCGGATTTCTTGTTTTTCACTCTTCCATTATATGACCGTCTTTTATTCATGTGTACTATTGGCCTATCTATAGTTTAACTGTTTGTAGTGCTGGAGAATGTGAGCTAACACAGCTAGCATGTGTCATTAGTTCTTGACAATGTGCCTGTTATTGTGTGTTATTGTTCATGTAGATGCCGACTATTAAACTGCAGAGCTCTGATGGAGAGATGTTTGAGGTGGATGTTGAAATCGCCAAGCAGTCTGTGACTATAAAAACCATGCTTGAAGGTAAGCTGAATTGAGATATGGTCATATATGTGTATGTGATGTGTGTAATCACAGCTGTCTTCTGCTCAGATCTGGGGATGGATGATGAAGGAGATGATGATCCGGTTCCTCTGCCCAATGTAAACGCAGCCATCCTGAAGAAGGTCGGACTTGTACATTGCTGTCATGTTTAATTGGGAGTTTCACATGATTTTAGTATACAGATGGTACACTGGGATAGATAGATGGGGGACTCCCCCAAACGTATCTAGGTCTGATTTTACCCTAAGATGATAATAAAAGATACTTTGCATATGGGTCATTCTGTGTCAACTCAACCGGAGAGCTCAAATTTTCAAAATATTAAATGTCGTGGATGAATATTTATGGAGTAATCCACTGTTTTGTAGAGGGTTTGTCAAAATGACAATTTTCACCTGCGATTCAGAGCGAAGTTACAGGGGTTAAAAATGACTTCAGAAAGATTTTGAGAGATTAGAAGGTCTATTAATAAAATCTGTTTGATTTTAGCAATCTTTGTTGCGTTATATACCAATGGTGACCGTTCACCATTTGACAGACAAGCTACAATTCTAGTTCCAGCATGATTTATTCTTCAGACATTGTTTTTTAAATACAGTGATGTATACAAAGTGGCCCACATTTCTGCTCAGATCTGGGGATGGATGATGAAGGAGATGATGATCCGGTTCCTCTGCCCAATGTAAACGCAGCCATCCTGAAGAAGGTCGGACTTGTACATTGCTGTCATGTTTAATTGGGAGTTTCACATGATTTTAGTATACAGATGGTACACTGGGATAGATAGATGGGGGACTCCCCCAAACGTATCTAGGTCTGATTTTACCCTAAGATGATAATAAAAGATACTTTGCATATGGGTCATTCTGTGTCAACTCAACCGGAGAGCTCAAATTTTTGTACATTGCTGTCATGTTTAATTGGGAGTTTCACATGATTTTAGTATACAGATGGTACACTGGGATAGATAGATGGGGGACTCCCCCAAACGTATCTAGGTCTGATTTTACCCCAAGATGATAATAAAAGATACTTTACATATGGGTCATTCTGTGTCAACTCAACCGGAGAGCTGAAATTTTCAAAATATTAAATGTCGCGGATGAATATTTATGGAGTAATCCACTGTTTTGTAGAGGGTTTGTCAAAATGACCATTTTCACCTGAGATTCAGAGTGAAGTTACAGGGGTTAAAAATTACTTCAGAAAGATATTGAGAGATTAGAAGGTCTATTAATAAAATCTGTTTGATTTTAGCAATCTTTGTTGCGTTATATACCAATGGTGACCGTTCACCATTTGACAGACAAGCTACAATTCTAGTTCCAGCATGATTTATTCTTCAGACATTGTTTTTTAAATACAGTGATGTATACAAAGTGGCCCACATTTTGTTTTTGACCACTGAGAATGTGTCCATTTTAACGATTTACTCTCGGAGCCATATTTAGATCCCAGTATCTCTGGAACTGAACCATATAGGGCCTTAAAAATGAAGATGCCAAAAGTAAACCTTGTTAAACCCAACATCTAAAAGGGCATTAAGATATCTTTAATACATCTTGAGTTACAGGCATGCAAACTTTGGAGAAAAAAAACCAAAATGACCATTTTCACCTGAGATTCAGAGTGAAGTTACAGGGGTTAAAAATTACTTCAGAAAGATATTGAGAGATTAGAAGGTCTATTAATAAAATCTGTTTGATTTTAGCAATCTTTGTTGCGTTATATACCAATGGTGACCGTTCACCATTTGACAGACAAGCTACAATTCTAGTTCCAGCATGATTTATTCTTCAGACATTGTTTTTTAAATACAGTGATGTATACAAAGTGGCCCACATTTTGTTTTTGACCACTGAGAATGTGTCCATTTTAACGATTTACTCTCGGAGCCATATTTAGATCCCAGTTTACCCCCCTGTAATTTGGCTCCGAATCTCAGGTGAAAATTGTCATTTTGACCGTCCTCGACAAACTAGTGGATTATTTAGCTTGCAATGTGGTTTCTATATCAAAGTTCATAATACCATTATTTTCATGCCAGTTCTCATTACTGTAATGTGACTGGGTTTTGTTCCTCGTTGCTCATTTTTCTCAGTTATGCAAAATAATTTATGTAGTGTGCATGTTGGTTGTGTTTTAAAATAAATACGAAATGTGTCCGTCTTGGAAGGGACTGAGCCTTACAGTGAGTTTAATATGCCCACAGGTGATTCAGTGGTGCACCCACCATAAAGACGACCCTCCTCCTCCTGAAGACGATGAGAATAAAGAGAAAAGAACTGATGACATCCCTGTGTGGGACCAGGAGTTCCTCAAAGTAGACCAGGGCACCCTCTTCGAACTCATTCTGGTGTGTAAAACTGCTTGTGCTTTGACTGGCAGCGTTCGTTAAAACGGTGCTGTATGCTACAGAACTGAGTCGCAGATCTGATTTTATGCAGGGAAAACAAAGCGAAATGCATCCTTTTGGATTTTAGGACCAACTGAGTGCTTGAAATTGTAGGATAAACAAATGTGGCGCCCTGCATTTAATGAAGCAAAACCAGTTGAGAAGCTAAAAGAAATAAAAGAGAGTGCCTTCTGGTTCTTGAGACCGCGGTTTTTGCAAAATAACCCCACGGATGAACATTTAGAAAAGTTCTCACAATTAGTGATGCACCAAAATTAAAACTTTGGGTCAAAATGAAAACCAAAAATTCAGGATGCACCTGAAAATAAAATGACCTGAAAAACTGAAAATAAATTTCATAGTCAATTAATCAAATATATTTAACGGTCATTTAACAATAACAATAAGCATTGTCATCTTATCAGCAGTAATTACTATGTATGGATCACTTCAGTAGAGTGAGAGTATGTGCTTTGGCTCTATTCAAAAGCCTTGTGAGCTGCTGTATATCTAAATAATAATAATGAGAAACAAAATAATTATTATTTTAATATTTTGATATCAGTAAAAAGAGTATTTAAGGAAATAATAATTGCATTTGTGACTTTATTTCGAACATGTAAAATAAATACAATAAAAACGAATAAACAACACAATACAAAACAGTTTTAAATTATACATGTCCGTAGGGCTGTGCAAAAAAATCGAATGCGATTTTCATGCGCATCTCGTGAAACATTGAAGTTTCAACATGCATTCATCATTCATCAACGTGAAACATTGAACAAAATACTAATAATAGTATTGAACTAATAATAGAAGTACCGATTTCTTGTCATGGTGATCGGCTGATCCTAATGCTTCAAGCTTTATATAACTAATATGTAAGCGCTCTGATCACCATTAACCTTTTTTCAGATAAAGTAATAATACAGATGTTGCCTTTATGTTTTTACATTTGTTACATTTTTACAGTAATTATGTAATAATGTGTAATGTAATGTAACTGTTGTTTTAAGAGTACTAATCACAAAAATTATTCATTATACAGTGAACATTTTAATATATGCCTTTAAAGTGGGGTTTATGCATAACGCTATGCATATCAGAATACTTGTATAAGACAAAAATAAATACAAACAAAATGGAGCAGTGTGATGCAAATATTAACCACAAGGTTTATTTAAACATTATCCAATAGTAAACTGTGGAGGACAAAATAAACATTTAATCTCCTAATATTGAGAAGTCTGATGTAACTTAAACATTGTCATACAAGTCTGAGGACACAATTAATATTAAAAAAAACATTTAAACTCGTAAAAGAACAAATTGGAGTAGTTTGATGCAACTCTTTAGGTTTAATTTAACATTGTCCAATATTAGACAGAGGACAAAATAAATAGAAACATTTAAACTGCAACATGGAGATGTCTGATGTAACTCATAAGGTTTAATTAAACACTGTCCAATATAAGACTGAAGAGGAAAAAAAGAAATAGAAAGATTTAAACTACTGAAAGAACAAAACAGAGTAGTTTGGTCACGGTTATATCCACGGGTCGGGTAATAAAAAAAATGCATTCTGAATTCGTGTGTGTGTGTGTGTGTGTGTGTGTATGTTTGCCTGATCGGGAAGTTGCAGTGACCGAAACGGTGACATTCCAGATAAAGTATGAAAGAAGTAAAGCCATGTGTTGATGCTACTGAGTAGGCTAATATGGCCAAAGAAGATATTTTGTTTTATAAATAAATGTTTGTTTAATAGCAGCCCACGATCAGCGTATTATGTTACCGTTATCCCTTACGGCTCCGACGAGGTTTTGTTCCGTCCTCCACGTGGTGCCAACTCATAAAAGACTGTTTTTAGCCAAGCAGCGCGGAGAGCCGCTTCAGAAACGTGCCGCGGCTGGCTGGTATAAACACAAGCTTTGACTAGAGCGGCCGCGATCAGCTCCGGTTCCCGTGGAGCCGTAACGCGCCGCAGACGCATGCAGTTATGCACAGATCATCTCTAACGTCACTGAATCTGCTGTTAAAATGAACCATCCATTCATCATATCATCATGCAAAACTAAGAATTAGAGTAATTGTAATGTGACGATCAGGTGCGGTTATCTAAATCAGAGAAAAATATAAGCGGGTGTATCATTTATTTGAAGCTGCGGGTGACGTTTTGGCTCATCCGCGCATCACTACAATGCATACAAATTCCATTATCTTCACGAATATAGCCATAGCTTTCTTGCTGTCTGGTGTGTAAAGTTCATGTTTTTTTCAGAACGTCTGTAATGGATGGCTGAGCGAGAGTTGCGTTATTAGTTACCATTGCCTTTTTTGCAGTTGCCAGTTTTTCGTATTCGCCATACGTCTCGCGGTGGCTCGTTCTTAAGTGCAGAATCAGGTTCGTCGTATTAAATGTTTTGGACAATGCTCCTCCCCGTGAGATTTCTTTGAAACATACACGGCAAATAGAGAATTTTTCATTGTTTCTCGAAACGTCATAGTATTTCCGCGATGACATGACTGTAGCGCCAAATCATTTACGTCCAAATGCGTTGCGATCGGTTCGTAAGATCGTGATTATGTCCTAAAATGTGATTATCGGCCGATGCCGATCGATCGGAGCATCCCTATAAACCGTTAAACTTTTATTTTGACAGTAAGCCACAGCTGCCTTTAAAGCTTGTCTTTCATTAATGAGTGCTTCTTATTAGAAGTTTGTGAAGAAGGTTGGTGCATGTTTAGTTTCCAAATGCAATCGCCTCAAACTCCGAGCAGATGGAGTTCATGTGGATCATTTACATTGAACTGAGACGCTGAAAACACCGGCGGATCATGAGCTGCTGATGTGTAAATAAAAACAGTGCTGCGCTTCACTCAGAAACTCACACTTATTTCATTACATCTCAGCCTTGTGATTTAATAATCACACTAAGCCATATTATGGATTTATGTCGTGCAATCGTAGTAGTCAATGTAATTATGGTCGTTTCCACCTGGTATTAAGAATGCATTCGATCTCAGGAATGTGTGAATGTTATTCCATGTCCTTCAAACCGTGTGCAAATTGAAGTCTATGAAAACAAATTTAGGTGTACGATCTAGGTCTGTCAAAATGGCTGAAAAACTAAATTCGAATTTTGTACTTATCAATATTCGAATTATATTCAAATTTAAAAGACATAATTTCAGTTAGGGGGGAAAAACTTTTGGCTTCTCTCCTGAGGCCACAAGAGGGCGCATAGAGCAACATATTACTAATGCACGCTTCTTCAAAGCAATAAAATAACACGACTATCTTTGAAAAAAGTGCATAATGTTTATAAACCATATATATAATTAAGTTGCTTAAACAATTAGAAACAAAACAGCATCATATGTATGTGTATAGTTTAATACAAAGGACTGAAAAACATGTAAATGTATGGTACTTCTGACGTTTATCTCCCATTATGTGCAGGATTTCAATGAAATATCAATTTCTGAGTTTCTGACATTTACCAATATTGATATATCTGTCAAATGTCAGCATGCACTGGGGATTTATAATCAAGTTCTCTTCTGTTTTTTGCAACTTGGGACATCTGTGAGCATCTCTGAAACGCTCCATTGTGAATCCGTGTCTTGTGCTCTTCACTCTTATGTCGTGAGTTGAGCGTTAAGCAGCACTGCGTTGACTCGCCACACGGTGGCCACGTCTTCATTTGCAGCTCACTTTCATCTCTCTTCCCTTTGTTTAGGCTGCAAATTACTTGGACATCAAAGGCTTGCTAGATGTTACTTGCAAGACGGTTCTTTTTTCATTTAAAAACATGAGATGCAGTGGGATGGGGAAAAACCGCCTTAAAGTCTCGAGACATGTTTTTTGAAGTTGAACTTACATTAATTTTGCATGGCTTTCTAAACATGCGACTCTCTATGTAAATGTATGGTACTTCTGACGTTTATCTCCCATTATGTGCAGGATTTCAATGAAATATCAATTTCTGAGTTTCTGACATTTACCAATATTGATATATCTGTCAAATGTCAGCATGCACTGGGGATTTATAATCAAGTTCTCTTCTGTTTTTTGCAACTTGGGACATCTGTGAGCATCTCTGAAACGCTCCATTGTGAATCCGTGTCTTGTGCTCTTCACTCTTATGTCGTGAGTTGAGCGTTAAGCAGCACTGCGTTGACTCGCCACACGGTGGCCACGTCTTCATTTGCAGCTCACTTTCATCTCTCTTCCCTTTGTTTAGGCTGCAAATTACTTGGACATCAAAGGCTTGCTAGATGTTACTTGCAAGACGGTTGCTAACATGATCAAAGGCAAAACCCCAGAGGAGATCAGAAAGACTTTCAATATCAAAAATGATTTTACAGAGGAAGAGGAAGCCCAGGTAAAACAAGTGCTCATTTCCTGTCTCTCCTCCGTCACGCATGGTCTTAATGCGCTATTGATACTGATACTGTGTCACAGTTTTTATTTGTATATCTTGTTTTCATTTTAATTTTAGTCAAATTTAATAATTTTGTTGTTTGGCATTTTTAGTAACTTTTAGAATCAGTAAGATTTTTAATGTTTTTTTTTTAAAGAAGCCTCTTCTGCACATTAAGGCTGCATTTATTTGATCAAAAATACAGAAAAAACTGTAATATTGTGAAATATTATTGCAATTTAAAATAATGATTTACTATTTTAATGTACTTTAAAATATAATTTATTTCTGTGATGCAAAGCTGAATTTTCAGCATCATTACTCTTTTTTCATTTAAAAACATGAGATGCAGTGGGATGGGGAAAAACCGCCTTAAAGTCTCGAGACATGTTTTTTGAAGTTGAACTTACATTAATTTTGCATGGCTTTCTAAACATGCGACTCTCTTCAGCGGGACGCGAGTGCAACGGTGATGTCTCAAGAAAATGCGATAAATATGCGTTCTGTGTGAATGGCTTTGTTTCAGTTTTGACGTAAACCACATCTTCAACATCAACGTTGCAAACAACATCATGCAACATTTTTGCATTCGAATGTGGATTTTTATTTTAAATTCGACGAATATTCAAAATTCATGAACATACATTACGAAAAGGAATAAATATATTAATTTTAAAACAGCAACTGGCCGCTTGTCCGCAGGTTTAAGGTAGAAGGATGGTAGAGCTAAGAATGTCTTTCCATCATTACTCCAGTCTTCAGTGTCACATGATCTTCAGAAATCATTCTAATATGCCGATTTATCATTTTTGGAAACCGTTGTGCTGCTTAATATTTTTTGGAAACTGTGATACTGTTTCAGATGTTGAAATAAGATTTTTTCAGTTTTAGTTTAACTATAATAACTCCCCAGAATGTTGTTTGTTGCAGGTACGCAAGGAGAACCAGTGGTGTGAAGAGAAGTGAAGATCCTGACACACTTTAACACTACATATTGTTCAAAAAAAAAAAAAAGTAATTAAAAATTGCACTGCGCTGTTCATATTTGTTGAGGTTTAACACGAATAAACAGAAAAAATCCCTTGTGTTTTGCTAGCATGGCCATTCTCCTTGCTTGTGTGGTGTAAAAGCCTTTTTTAATGCCATTCCGCTTCAGATGAATGGAGTAGAGAAAACGCTCCACGCTTTTATTTTATTTTAACGGAGCTTGGCACCAAATGGCAGATTCTGTTTTCTGTTTTTGAGAAATGAACATATATCTTAAGTCACATTTTCTAAGCAGCCTTATTTGTGCTGATGAGAGATCAGTGTTGAGATGTCTTGTGAACTGGAAGTACTCGTGTCTGCTTTCACTTCATCTGCTCTGCCTCATTGTATAGGATTGACGGTCTGTCACAGTTCTGCTCCGAAATGGCAGGCGATTGGGATTAATAACAAAAAAATAAACCAAGATTATTGTGGGATTTGTCAGTTCTCTGTGCAGTGTCATTTCTGCATCTTGCAAGTGTTTTACGTTTGGCTTTCTTCATCCGCTCAAAGTTTGACCGTATCTCGAGCTCATTCTGTTAGTATGCGTGTGTGAATGTGTCTGTATCTGCACATCTCACATGCTGCTGGAGCTTTTCTGATACTCACTTTTTCTTCTAAATTAGGTCATTTCTTACTGATTAGAGCTCAGTGTTTTTAAGTTTGTCAGATGTTGAGAATCACATTAACTGATGAACGTGATCCACAACCATGTAGTGTCTTTCAATACTAAATCATTTCACACCTAACAAACTTTCAAATAGAATATTTTTGCTTAAAGTGCTATCTTTTGACTAATTTTTTCAGACATTGTGTGACACAATTATCCATACATTTTGTACGAACCAGTAACCATTACACCTACTCTAAATGTAACCAATGATGTCCCTATTTTCTTCAATGTTATTTGTTAATGAAAATACAACTATTGCTTTTTAGTTTATATTAGCCCTGTTTATTGTTAATATTATTCAATGGACCGGAGTTAACATGAATTTACTATGCAAGCTCATTTACGCTATGGCATAAAAAAGGTAATTGCAACTTTTCTGACGATTTGTACCTTTTTCGAGTTAATATAATTCGTAATAATTTGCTATGAGTTAATGATTAATATTTCTTAATTCATGATTTAATGGTGAGAGTTGTTAGATTAGAACTTTTTTTTTCTCAATTGCGAGATATAAACTGGTAATTCCATGAAGAAAATTTGATGTTGAGAGGGATACTCAAAATTTTGAGAAAATCCAATTTTTTTGCAAAAAACAGAATCGCAAGACGTAAACGTTAAATTGTGATGTGATTTGGAATTGTGGGAAAGGAAGTCAAAATTCGGAGTTTCTCACAATTCTGACTTTATTTTTAATTAGAATTTTGAGAAGTGTTGCAGCTACCTTTTGGATTTAAATTTTTTTATTCCGTGGCAGAAACCGGTACAACTTTATTTGAATACATTTTCACAATCTTGAAATGAACTCAAATGCTTTAGACATATTTTTCATTGTTAGTTCATGTTAAGTAATGTAGTTTACAGTTAACAAATAATTGTAACAGTGGATGTAATGGGACAATAGCTTACTAAATATTGTGCAGTATTATATTGTTCTGGTATTATTAAAAACAGCAGTGAAAATGCATTGCAAAACAATGCTGTGTGATCAGATGAGTTCATTATACAGTCGATAAAAGCAGTAAAACTGTCAAGCTGGACACAGTGCTGCTGCTGGTGAATGCACACGATACATAGAAAAATAACAGTATGCTGTTCCACTTGAGTGAACCACTGAAAGAACTCCATGAGACGGATCTTTCAAAATATTTTAATAAATCTATAGAGAGATTATTGTTACATCAAAAGCAAAAGAAAGAGCGATGACTTGCTGTATGTTAACACTGAAGATGTGTGGCAGGAGATCACAGATGACATGATCGCTTCAGAACAGACCTGAGTCAACACTAAATGACTACTAGAAAGCACACACACACACACACACACAGATACATAAACATACTTCATTTCATACTGCGACAGGCATAGCTGACTACTTCAGATCTACACAACAAAAGCTATTAAAAATGGAACTTGTGTCATTAAAAGTAAACAGCCAAGGAATGTTTTTTCTTTTTTTTTCCTCTTTACATAAAAACATATAAAAGTTTAGTTATTTACGGCCTTTCAGTCTATAAAAGATGAAGTTTAACAACACTTATTTGATTGTACAAGAGTTATGGTGAGAACTGACACTGTTTTCAGTGATGTAAAGACATGATCATGATCTCCACACACAGTGGCTGAATCTCATGAAGAAACATCCAGGTCATGCTTTAGCAGAAAAATACATTTTGCACAAAGAAAAAGTTATTTAGATCATTCAGATTTTTGGGATTGTGATGACAGTTAAGCACATCTCCCCCAAAATTCACATTCCTGTACTAAAAAAAAAAAAAAAAACAATTCCACTACTGTAATTGTGGCTAAACGGCTGCTACCAAACAAATCAGTATCAGCCAAATACATCTTTTCAGTGCATTTAGATGCACAGACTGTTTAATGAAACAGAGGTGGCATAAATGCATTTACACTGCAAAATAATGTTATGAGATTAATGTTTTATATATACATATATAATATAAATATGAAACTAACCTACCAGTCTGTGGCTGTACGTGACAGTTTTGATGAGTCATTCATTCAAAAGATTCTTTCAAACTGCTGATTCAGTCAAGAATGAGAAAACGAGTGAGTCATTGATTTGTTCGCTCAACAGATCAAAGACGCTCAGAGAATTGCAACGGTTTTGCGTTTTTTGTTGGCAAAATGGAGAAAAAAAACAGCAATACTGGTGTCTAAAATGTAACTCGTTTAATATAAAATTCTTGTTTGCTGAATTGAATAAAATCAATATCACATTTGCAATCGTGCTGATATTTGGGAAAACAGCACTCTTGCTCGTGTAATGTTCCTTAACTGCTTAACTGTATCTGGATATAAAAGTGTAAATGTTGAACCCTGTATATGTGTGTGTATGTGTGTGTGTGTGTGTATATATATATATATATATATATATTCCAAACTACAGTAGCAAAAATGATCTTTTTTGCATTATTGGTAATGAATACAATATGCTTAATTGTCATTAAAATGAATGAAAACGGGGGGGAAAAAAACATTCTTCATGAGATTCATCCACAAGGAAATCTAATTCCATGACTTCCTAAAAGATGAGAGGACGCCCCATGTCCCGAGGAAACTGAAGTGAAGAGAACTTGAAGAATTCAGTCATTGTGGCTGCCTTACGGCGCTCTCTGTTTTAATTCTGCTGAAGTCGAGCGAGAGTCTGGGTGGGTGGGCGGAGCGTTTGGCGCTCTGTGGGAGGGGACTGCTGGTGGGGGAGGCGGGGTTTGGCAGGTGATTGACAGGTGAAGGGGAGGAGTCTATAGCACTTCCATCGGAAGAATGGGGGCTGGCGCAGCGTCCTCTTTGAAGGTAGCGAATGCACTTCTTTTTCCTCCTAGGAACAGTCAAGAGAGTTATCTGTGAATAAAGCGTGGATGTGAAACGTCACAAAGATGAACTGCACAACAATGACAGAAAATAAAGAGCACACAAAACAAACAGTTATGCCAGAATAATATACAGTGTCAAATAAGTGTGAAAAGCCGACGTGTGAAAAAAGGCCTGCTTTATTCGACAGTTCTGACTGAATTTCAAGCTGATATCACACGCTTTTCCTAAAAACATTAAAACTCCAGTCAAGTTCACACTCTAAATTTACGACCGATTTTTGAACTAACTCAAAGCATAAAGTTTAAAATATCAAGAGGAATTTCAACCTAACTTACAGTTTTAAAGAAAAATACATGAAAAATCAATATCAGTTCATGAACACAAGCAGGAATGATATTTAGTCCTGCATAAATACAGCTGAGTGCATAAGCTTGTAGAATCTTCAAGATGTTAATAATAATAATAATAATAATAAAAGAGGGATTGTGATTCATAATTCTGGACTATATGTGAACTTATGCACTCAGCAATTCATACAACTAATAAACAGTCACATTTACAGTAACATTTTAAAACATGAATTATAAAATGAAAGATACGTGTTCAACTTCTTAACTTGATCACTGCGTTTTATCTTTTGGGTTACATTATTAACTAATAGATTACATGTTTTCTGTTATGCAAATGAGGCATTATCTAATTTAAAATGCACTAATTTGCATGCTTTTCCAGAACGGAAATCTGAAGATCGAATAAAGCGAAATCGAATGTTTCATTTTGTCAGCATATTGGAGGATAAAATGTTATTTGTGACCCTGGAGCACAAAAGCAGTGTTAAGTCGCTGGGGTATATTTGTAGCAATAGCCAACAAAACATTGTATGGGTCAAAATTATACATTTTTCTTTTATGCCAAAAATCATTAGGATATTAAGTAAAGATCATGTTCCTTGAAGACTCAGACGATGTATAAATCTCAATTTCAAAAAATGTACCCTTATGACTGGTTTTGTGCTCCAGGGTCACATATAAATCAAGTGAATGATGAACAAAATCCTCTGTAAAAACCTTCAGAATAGACATAGGAATAAAATATGTATTCTAATTGAAATCTACAGATGCAAATAGACGAAGCGTAATAAGGTAAAAACTTAAATGTGTATTTTGCATGTTTTCCTTCCAGTAAAACGCAAGCAGAATCTCAAAACTGACTGGTGCACAAAAAACACTGGTTTTGTCTGCAGCGTCTTGCCTTAGGGACTAGTTTTGAATGTTAAAGTTGAAAGCGATTGCAACACGTAAGCCTTACTGACTGGAAACCGCAGCACGAGCAAACCACAGTGCCGACCCCGTCAGGAGCCGCTGGAGATCAGTCACTTCACACACTCTCTCAAAGTCTCGGCCAGCGCGTCTGCAAACCCTGCTGCAGAGCTACCTCATAAAAACTCACCTTGAACTAAAGAAACTGAGATAGTGATCTCTGGTTCGTGAACAAACTGAGTCTTCACAGTGAATCTGCTGAATTGGTTCAGGAATCAGACTGAAGCTTGAGTCAACAACTCACTGATTTAATGATCAAAATGACCCGCAAACCATGTGTTTGATATACATTTTATATAATGTTTTGATAGTGTATATTAAGTTTTAGTAATAAATTAAAAAGCTTATTTTTAGATCATACATACACATTAAAGGGCCGCACTATTTGGGGAAAAAATTGAATTGTAATTTTCTGAGGAAAAAAAAAGTGATTACAATTTAATGTCTTGTTTGTAAGGCTGCACAATTTGGCCAAACTTTTTGTGATTATATCAGTATGGATATAAAATAATATCAATTTAATTAATAATAATTATAATAATAACTGCAATTATTATTGCTAAATAATAATAACAAAAGGAATGCTACTGTTGGTCTAATGCACAATTTAATCCAAAAGTTTGTGATTATATCAATATGGCTATAAAAATAAAAATAATATTACTGTTATTATTAAAACACATTAAATTACTATTGGACTAGTGCTGCAAAAGATGACCAAAATTTTGTGATTATATCTATATGGCTATAAAATAACAACAACAACAACAATATTATGATTACTAAATAAAAATATCACAATTAAATAAAATTTAAATATTGTATATTGTAATATTTCAGTGTAAAATAAAAAATAATATGTAAGAAAAATAACATAATAATATAACAATTAAATTCTAAATATAAAATTACAATACTAATCTTATTGTGTCATTCCTCAAATGTTAACGGTTCAACTTAGAGCATGAATTAAATAACAGCCTTTGTAACTTGATTAATCACACTAAGCCATTTATTTTGTTTAATCATGCAGCCCTAGTCTGCACTAATCTTTCTGACTGACTAGTGTTGGCTAGAATGAATAATAATCAATAAGTTACATTAAAACCACTGTGCCAAAGTTACGGCTGGTTCAAACAGGACCACGACTCAAAGGTTTCTGGAGAGCATGAAGTCAGATGAAGCAGTGATGAAAGCAGAGCTGCTGAGCTCCAGAGGGCTGTTAGTGACAGTCGTACACACCTGCAGGGGCCACACCAGTCCGTTTGTTGCTTGAGGCCAAAGCGAGCGCGGCATTTCTTTGGTGAGCCGGGGTCTGAGCGAAAGGCAGCATGCGTGCAGAGAAAGAGAGACAGCGGCAGAGAGAAGAGGAGAAGAAGGAGAAGAGGCCGCCGAGGCAGAGAGGTTAGCCGTCCAAACACCAGGAGAGAGAGAAAAGCAATCACAGTCAAGACGTAAACCAAGCCCACTGCAAATACATAGAGCTACGCAATATCATATCAGCTGCTAGTCCATGCATACTGCCTACTGTACTGTCAAATATATTTTTTAAAGACAAAACTAAGGAATCTTGTTTCTGCCACTGAATAAAAAATAAAGGTAACTTGCCTCAATTTTGACTTTTTTCTTACAATTGTGAGTTTACATTTCTTTTCTCAGAACAGCATGATGTAAACACAACTGTGAGATATAAACTCAATTGTAATGAAAATGTCAGAATTGTGAGCTGACTTTTTTCCTTGACTTTACAACTTGCAATGGCAAGTTTATATCTAACAATTATGAGAAAAGAGGTCAGAATTTCAGGTTGCAAACTTGCAATTCTGAGGAAAAAAAAAACTTCTGAGAAAAAAGAATTGCTAGATACAAACTCGGAATTTTGAGGGGAAAAGTCAGAATTGTGAGTTAAACTGAATTTTGAGGGAAAAAGTCAAAATTATGATATATAAACTCGGAATTTTGAGGGGAAAAGTCAGAATTGTGAAAAACTTGGAATTTTGAGGGAAAAAGTCAGAATTGTGAAAAACTTGGAATTTTGAGGGAAAAAAACAGAATTGTGAAAAACTTGGAATTTTAAGGGAAACAGTCAGAATTGTGAAAAACTTGGAATTTTGAGGGAAAAAAACTGAATT